CCCCAAAACCCCAAAACCCCAAAACCCCAAAACCCCATGTATAATTTATTTAGAAATTGCCAGTGTAAATAACAATTATAAATTTAGTAATATAGCAAGAATTGTCAATAATTCCTTCTGGGTGACTTAGACTACCTTAAATGATTTTCTGAATGAGCCAATATTTACCTATTTTTAGATCTCATCCTCTCTGCTTCAACATCTCTTTGGTAAAGAGTTTTACTAATCTTTTCATTTTCCTCAATGAACTCCATCATCTACTTCTCCATATTCTGTTGCTATATCTCAAGAGCTTAACTTTTTGAATTCATCTGGTCTATTCTAGTTAGTAATGCCTCTCTCTTTTCTATACAATTTTCTTCCCTCTTTTTCTCATTATTCATTTAATCCTAAGCACCTCTTATTTCTCTTTCCTTCTAAATAGCAGCCTCTTTAACAAGCTGATTTTCCTTTTCAAGCTAGTTCTTTTAGTCACCAAGATCCCTGACCTCTTTTGTTAACTAATGAACTTTTTTCTCAGCATCTAGCTCTTGCTTTCTCAAATCCTAATTCTTGGCTTTGAGTTATTCAATCATACTTTAAATCTCCTGCAACTATTCATTAGATTCATCCAATACAGCTCTCTTTTGATTAATATCGTTAATAATTTTCTCAACCTGGTATTCTTGTTCTTTGATTTCAGAGTCTTTTTCCTGCATCTCAATATCAATAATCTTAATCTCATCAGCATATTTCTATGCTTATTGCATGTATTGATGACCTTAAGCTTCTAGTTTTTTCTTCTCTGCTATTTGTTCTTATTTCTCATCCATCAGTCTTTGATTATTTTGCTTATACTCTTGAATTTCCTATTCAAGTTAATTCACACTCGTAAACTACTTAGTCGTATCTCCTCTTAATGCAGCTAACTCAGCATTCTTCTCTCCCTCTTAATGATATAGCTGAATGTATTATTCCTTTAAGTTTTCATGATTTCTCTTTTAATTTCTTTATTAGTTCCTCAAGTCCTCTAAAAAGTTTTTGAGGTTTTCTATTTCATCTTATTAGTCCTCTAATCTCCTCTTTAATTCATTCTCTTCTTCAGCTTCCCCATTTTATAGCTAATCAAATCTGCGTGATAAGCATCGTATCTGATCTTCAAGTGAAGTGAAATCTCTTTCCTTTCGGCGATGCTCTTAAATCTCTTGCATCATTTGCTATATTTCTTTCTCAGACATTTTGGATTTATAATTTAATTCCAACTGATACTGTTAATGTTTTATTTATTAAATTAATATTAAATCTCTTAATACTTTAAAGTCTAAATCATAGTAGAAATTATCATCTTTTTCTACGATTCTTATACTTAATTTCAACTCTCTTTCTGAATTCATTATTGAGTTGCTTGATAATTTCATTAGTCATAATGATCTTTAACCACTTTGCTACGATTTCCCTTTGAATTTTCAGCATTTCATACTTTACATTATCATCAATCTCCTATTTGAATTCTTGTGCATCCTCAATAGTTCTCTTGAATCCATACCTACAAATAGACTATTTAACAGCCTCAGCTTTTTTTCTAATCAGAATATTTTCCTTTCTCTTATTGACTTCCTCTAATTTATTCATCATCATAATCTTTTTTAGAGAAAGACTCTGCATTTCAATGTCCTCTTTCATTTTAATGAGCTAATTGATTCTCTCCTTATTAGCGATATTAGGATTTTACTATTGATTGTATCTTTAGAACTGAGATCTGAAATTCTGAGATCTTGACATAGGATTATTATACATTGTGTTGTTTCTTTAAGTTAAAGTGCCTGGATTAATGTTTTTGAAATCAAATTACGAATTAAGATCTGCACTTTTTCTTCTATTAGAAAATTAGGCTGGCATTGTTCTAGCTGATTTTACTTTTCCTGATTTTTCAGGTGATATATCATCTTGAGGGATTGGAATTTAACCATTAGTCGCAAGTTAGTTAAAGATCTTGGAAGCTTTGGTCAAACTATGCTACTAAGCTACTTCTTTTTGCTTTTGAAATTTCAGTTCCTGATTAAACTCCTCTCTATTCTGGATAATATTGTAGTAATAAAAATTCGTCTATTGCAGAGAATTCTCATTATATTTCTTTGCGATATTTTCATTCACATCATCATAAATAGTCTCTTAGTTAGACTCATACAGATTTTAAATTAAGTCTTTGATTTATGCCTTCCCACTTTGCGTTTTAGATAATGATGAAGTAGTTTAAGGCTTGAAATTGAACATCTAAGCTAGTTCTTTGTTACTGTCTTTGTTGTTAAAGTTCAACGATTCTGAAAGTAAAATTTGTTTATTTTTTATTCTTCTCTGCAAAAGCTTTGATGGTTGCTTATAGAATATGTCATCTCTCTAGCTTGTGCTGTCTGATTCACGCTTTTTATCTTTCAATTAGGATTTTGAAGTTGATCCAAGTAGTTAGTCAAAGTATTGTCGAGTCCTTTGCGACTAATTTTCTAAAGGTAATGATAATGGGTTTGATGATCTTTCAAATCTCGAGGTATTAGAAAATGGTGTCTTAGCTCTACTTTGCCTAATTTATTCCACTAAATCATTATTTTTATTCAGGTATTGAGAGAAGCAGTCGGTAAACTTTTCAACAAATTCATTTTAAGGCAGTTGCTATCTTGATGTCATCGCTGTCATCACATCTCTTCTTGAACTATTTCTTTTATTTTGCACTGTGTATTCATGGCGAACACGACTATAGATTACTTTGAAATGAATTTTAATTTACTTGAAAGAAACCCTTCTAAGAAGTTTCTTTTTCAAAGCTGTGCTTATGTGTGTCTTTTATTCTTCTTAATTTTTCTTAGCTAATAACATTTGGTCTCTTCTGTCGAGAGTAATTGCAAGGGTAAATTTTTCTCCACAAGCTACTTAATGTACCTATGATAGAATAAATAATAAATTTGTTACTCTTTTATCGCCAAAAAAGTCTACTTCAAGAGGCATTAAGGAAATTTATTTGGGATTTGATTCAGGAGGAGGTCTTCCAAGGCAGCCATCAGTTGATTCACCCCACATATAGAGAGTTCCTGAGGACGTAACTGCTGCTGAGTGTGTTGATCCGCTGGAGATACTCGTAAAGAAAAGATCCAATCCTTTGAATCTGGATTAATCAAAGGCGTTTTGAGGTTCAAAAAAGTCAGTTAAACTAGATCTCATATCTCTTACTCCTTTTCCCCATTAGAACACTTTGCCACAATTAGTCAATGCCAAAGAGTGCTTATTTCCTGCAACTGCATTACTGATATCAAACTAAAGTAATCCTTCAATTAACTTTGGCTCGCTCTGAATATAATTTCCTCCAATTGTTTTGTCCATATATCCAAGGCATCCATCTCCATATTTCCCCCAAGAATAAAGTTTACCGTTTTATGTCCATGCAAGACAGTGGTTCTAGCCTGCAGATATCCCTTCAATGTGAATTTTCTGTAATCCTAGAGAAATGATTTACTTTAATTCTTGGATAAATGGCTGGTTGTAGAGCACTTGGTATCCTAACATTCCATAATGATTTCTGCCGACTGTCCACACTTTGCCTTTCTGAATCATGAATGAGCAGCTTTTGGAACATGAGCCATATGTAATCTGAGAGGAAAATGCTACTCTCTATTTATCTTTTTCATCCATGCTATTACCTTCTTCATCCTAGTCATAGTTTCTGAGCTATCTCGATGACTTTTTACCAGCCATAAAATGGTTTATTCTCTTGGGTTTTAATTGGTCTACTTAATCTTAATGTCCTAATTTGCCATATTTTCCACAGCCCCAAGAATAACACTCATTCATTTCATCAATTGCAATTGAATGTGACCTCCCAGAAGTGATGAACTTGATTTTATTGTCAAATCCAATTACTTTCTCAAGGCTTTTGACTTTATACACTGTGTTACCATTGCCAATTTGTCCTTGAGTTCCTGATTGTTGTTTAATAAGATATTCTTGATATATTACCCTCTCCAAAAGAATATAGCTCTCCATTGCCAAATAAAATATACCCAGTCCTTCTGCCACAGGCTACCATCTTAACTAGAATATCATCTTAGTTTTGATTTTTAATGTTATCATTAATGTGAATTTCCTTGCTATAACAAGTATTATACACAGATGATTTTTACGGTTTGAAATGCTTGATCCTATTCATGTTATCAAATTTTGATTTCTCGTAGTCAATAACTTAGCCTTAATCATTAAGTAGGAGCGGGGCAAGCTTTGCTGATCCAAAATAGTATACTAATTTAAAGTAAGATAAATATTCAGAATGCTGTTTATTTTCGGAACTAACCTTTAGACATTAAAAAATTAATAAGTAATTAGAATTTTAAGATTTAATTGGTACTTTTATGTTATCATTCACAATTCCTTCAAAATATCCTTATGTCAATAAATTAAAATATCACTTAATCATTCATCAATCGTATCTATTCTTTCTTGGATAGAATTAAACACCTGTTTCAGGTGCACCAGAACTTGGTTTGATGAGTTGGCATGTTGAGCCCATTAATTTTTTGTTAGAAAGTTCAGATGATTTATTGTAAGACCATAGCTTTCCATATTTGTTTTCATGCATGCTTTACATCAATATTCTACGCCTATAGTTCTTTTTATTTTCCAAAAAGTCCTGTGTATTCATAAATTTGCTTAAATATTTTTCCTCATTTACACTCTCTAGATTTTTATTAAAAGGATCAGAGAAATTGTTTGTTATTTTTTCCTAGTTTTCCTTTATTTTTGAAATAACTTTAGTGAGGTAATCTCTTCGGATTTTGTTATCTTTGATATACTTTAAAAATGTTCGTCTGACCTTTTTGTTTACAATATCATCTAGAAGTTGGGCATCCTCCTCATCTTTGCCCTTAATATTTTTCTAATATATTTACTCCACTCTTTCGTGAAAATACTTTTCAGGTTTAATTTAGGGCTATAGAAGCTGTGCTATAGTCTTTGAAGTTTTAAGACCTATTGGCTGAAATGACTACTCGATCTACTTTTTTAGATGATCTTTATAAAATTTAGACATTGATTCCTTTCTAGTTAGTGGTGCATTATCTATATCCTTCATCAACTACCTGGAAAATGAAGTCTGAGATGTACTTGGCCTGTCTAGTCGAATCTTATGGACACCTAGTAAATTTGGATTTGCACTCTTCAATCTTCTCTATCCCTAAGTATTCACATTATTAGCATTTAATCTCGACATTGACTGTCTATCAGTAGTAATATCGTCATTATCGTTAAATACACCTTCAGCAAATACAATCGATCCTTTTGAAATTTTATTGTTTCCAAAATCTAAAGGAGTGAAATTATTTTTTCTCACTACTTTTAATCCTGATAAGCTATGGGCCATACTACTACTTTTTTCCAGCAGCTATTATTAGCTCTCCGCTAAGTTCTCTTAATAATAGTCTCTTTAGACTTTCATACCAGCATCAGTAAATACAATCTTCATGAAATAAAATAGAAGTCTTCTTTCTGAATTAAAGAGAAATTATAATAAAATTGAATTAAATCAATTCAAATGGATTAAATCATAAAGCAAGAACTTAAAAAAGGTGATGCTAAATATGCAATGGAGCTGCTTTAGACTTAAATGATTAAAGCGTTTTCTGAAGTAAGAAGAAATAAAGATCACATTATGAAGTTTACATTTACTCCTGAAAAGTAAAATAATGCAATTAACTAATATTGAAATTCTATAGAATAATGATGTTGCTATCGAAAGAGAGACTTTAAAAATTAGAAGTACTTTGGGAAGACTATCCAGATGGATTAGAGTTACCTTTATTCACTTAATTGATGCTAGACTCTATAGAGTGCTCTGAGGAAGAGAAATATGAATTAGTTCATGGCGCCTTAAAGCTGTTCTCAGATATTGATATCAACGGTGATGCACATATGGAATGGTCTGAGTTCATGCAGTACATTATTGATGCAGTTTTAGAGAACTCTATATCTAACAGTAATGATGACAAAAAAATGAGTGTAATGGAGCTAATATAGCAAATGAAAGCTAACCGTTTCCTAAGATTCTACATGGCATACAACCCAATTGATAAATCAAACCATACAAACTATATCATTAAGTAAATATCACCTTTAACTTATGATTTAGTGCAGCATATTCGAAGAAAGCTAATTTAATCATGTCATTTGAGAAACACTCTAAAGAGGTAAAGTTTCACACTCCTGATCTCCGATTCAAAGAAAAATTCCAAGTTCCTTTAAGAGTTGAAGGATTTATTTTAGGAATTGATTATTCAGATTCATAGCTAGTATTTGGTTGCACTGCATCAGACAGTCAATTGCATTTTTACATTCAGACTTCAAAGGGAATTAGGTTTATGAAGAGCATTGTAACACCTGGAATTTAAAGTAGAATATGGCATATGCCCAACCATAAATGCTGGATAACTGCTGGAAGAGATTTAAAGTTAAGGCAATGGGATCCATTCAAGACAGAAAGCTTAATTACAACATTTAATGAGGATCTTAAACTCCATAATTAAGAGATAATGGATGTTTGTGAGATTGACAATCCTTTTAGTATCGCTACTTGCTCTTTGGATAAAAAGATTGTCATATATAATCTAATTGAAAGGGAGCCAATTAGAATACTTAAAGGGGATCACATTAAAGGAGTAAAAAGGCTTTCTTATAATGGGCATTTTGGAGGGCATTTAGTCTCAGTTGGTCATGAGATTTATGCAAATGTTTGGGGGCCTGAGTCTTTAATTAGCGATATTTTGATAGGAAAACTCAAAGGCCACACTAAGCCAATTATTGACACTAAATTTATCAGTATCACTCCATTTAATGTAACTATTGACGAGAAGAACAATATAAGGATTTGGGATATAAGAACTCTTTAATGTTTACAGCTTGTCAAAGGAAAAGTATAAACAGCAGCCTAAGGAATTTGCTCGATTTAGAATAATGTCTTCTGGATATATGGGAAAAGATTTATTCAATTTGATACTTACTCTGTTGAAGAAGGAGGAGAGGAGCAAAAGGACAATCAATCTGAAAATTATCCAATTTGGGCTGAATTTAATACTTATTATATGTCCATCAACGTAGTTAACAAGTAAGATTTATAAGTCTCAATTCTTCTAGGCATGAAGTAAAATTATATGATAGCAGCACTGGTCAGTTATCTAAGATTCACTCTAATTTAGTAAATTTAGCATAAAAATAAGAAATAACTTAATTTAAACTTGACTTAAGACACAGAAAATGCTATATTAGTGACTCTTTTGTAAGATGTAATAATATTTATTAAATATAGGGTGGAATTAAAGTTTATAATGTGGGAAACGGAGTTGAATTGAAAGATTGCACTCATGATGGGGATGACAATGATGGACCTAGTAAAAATGGGGATTAAGATGATGATAATCTTACTAATTCTTCGTACAGTAGCATTAAAGAAGACAGCTTTAATAATAGCAAAGCTGAAGATGCTATTGATTAAAGCCATAAAGAAATCACAGGATTATAATTGATATGGGAAGAGAATTATATTATGATGATATGCTCTGACCATAAGTACATTTATGTTTATGATGAAGAAGATACTGAGTCGTCTGAGTAATTGAGGAAAATAACAGGAGCTCACAGAGAAGAAGTACAAATATAGTTATTTATATGATTTAGATTACCATCATTAAATATGATGATCATTTATCTCTTCTTGCAAGTGGCTCGATAGATGGAGAAATTGCTGTTTGGGACTTTGAAATGAGCAAGCTATTGGGAATGTGTATAGGCCACACTGGAGATATAACAGGAATTGAATTTGTTACTCCCTATCCTATCATGGTTACTTCCTCATTAGATTGTACAGTATGTATATGGGGAGTAAGGCCTTGCAATATAGCCTATAGGTATATTTCTCTTTACAGATTTGAAAACATTTCCTTCAACTACAATAAAGACTCTAAAATAGCAGTTTCAAAAATTCTGATAATCAAAGATAAAATGAAAGGTATATAAAGACATAAGCGGTTGAATGATGGGTATTTAGTTGCAAGCAAGTATGGTTCTTTTAATGTAAATGTACTATTCAAGAAGATTGAAGACAAAGTTCAAAATGATTTGTTCAATGCTTCTGAATAAAATACACTGCCCAAGAAATCTGTACTAAGTAGGTTTCTAGCAGCCAGATTAAACAAAAAAAGTCCTCCTGGTGAGGCTCAAATTCCTATAAATTAATCTCAGACTTTTGTAACAGCGATAAATTTTAGTAAGTATTTCATTTAAATTCATGTTTAGTGGAAAATGATTATGAAAGGAAACTTGATTAAGTTTTTGAAAGATGCTATATGTATGTTGCAGACGAAGCAGGGTTTATCAAAGTTTGGGATTTAACAAACATCATTAAAAAGATTGGCTTTTCACCTGCTGATAATTATCCATAGAAAAAAGTTTCATTTAATCCAAAAAGAAAAGAGACAATAGATTGCACTATATTTGCTTCCTCAATGAGAAACGAGTAATTAATGCCATTTGAAATTAATATCTTAGCGCTAAGAAGCAGAAGCTTCCTGATATTCTAAATCCTGAGAAAGTTGGCATCTTCATAAGGGAAGTCAAGGCTCATAGAGAATGCATTGTCAGTATGAATCCTATTTAAGTCAGTAATGGAGGAGGACTAATAACTTGCTCAACTGATAGAAGGGTAAGAGTGTGGTCTTCTTTTCTTGACCTTTGGGGAACCATAGATCAAAGACAAGAAAAGATTGATAAAAGATGGTGTTTTCCCCAAGATTTCAAGAGAAAATAAAAAGAGTCAGAGATAGACCAAGTAAAAGGTTTGTTAAATGAGGTTGAACTTGAAGCTGATAAAAATCTCATCTTTAAAGAAGATGATAAAAATAATGAGTAAAAAAACGAAGAAAAATCTTAAAAATTTTGGTTGATGACACGAAAATAGAAATACTAAGAGTAAATACAGACTTAGAAAACGGAAAGAAGTCAGTAAAGTGAATCTAATGGTAACTAAGGATTCCTTGAAAATTTGAATAGAAGGTAATATTTTTTAATTAATAAACTATGCTAGAATAGAGGAATTTGATGTTAGAATGTAGTTTATTGAGCATAGATTATAGAACCAGAAGCCTTATCATGGGTATCATGGTTATGCCAAAGAACTTGAGAGAATTTTGGATGCCAAGCAGCAACGAGTCCATTCAGAAAATAAGAGAATTCACTAAACTATGCCTGTAGGTGATCAATCAAACGATATTCAAGCTATTGCTTAAAAAAGATCTATGCTTAGAATCTAGGATCATAAATCAAAGAAAAATCTTCTCGGCGATTACTAAAGTGCTGTACCCTAGGCCTTAAATAATTAAAAAAGCCAAAATATGGCCTCAAGAAATGTTATGAGTCGAATAGGCAATATCAAATGCTCTTAGAGTGAGTACGAATCTATTTCTAATATAAGTAAGTTACAATAATTAAAAACTATTGGTAGAAAGTATGATGGGCGATACTAATGAAAAAGAAAAAAGTAAGATAACTTAATTTAAAGATGCCCCTAAAATAAGAAATTAGATTCACTCACTTTAGAATTAAAAATCTAATAGCTTATTTACAACTCCACTAAGATAGAGAAAAAATTTTGTTATAGATTAAAATATCTAAAGTAAAATTAAACTATTTTATAAACATATAGATTACTAGGTTGACGAAAACAAATACTTTGAACATCAAATTCAGCCAGGAATAAGACTTCCACCTATGAATGTTACCCCAAAGCACAGAAATTATTCTTTCGAACAAAAGCCTTAAGCAAACAAAAAGATCAAGCATTAATTCATTAATGAGTCTTCAAGAAATACATTAAATGCTTCGTTATTAGAGCAAAGTTTGGACAAGAGAAGATAGAGCCAATTAAAGAATTAAACATAAGCATATTCTAAAGGTTAGTTTATTACTAGCAGTGATTAAGAGGATGCCATTCAAATAAAAACAGATTACATAATTGATGATATTAATGATTACTAAGGTAGAAAGTAAAAATATTTTGGAGATTAAAGTGCTATAAAGTTACTAGTTAAAGAAGAAAATTTAAAAATTTAACATTAGAGAAGAGAACTAAAGAAATCACTAAAGTTACCGAAATACCCAAAATGATTAAATTTAATTTCATTATCAATTGATTATTAGAAAAGTTGAATCATTGCAATTTCTTAAAATATTTCATAGATTAATCTAAGGGGTTTTGGGGTTTTGGGG